GATTTTTTTAGTACTTTTTGAAGTTTGAGGGTAATTTTAGTTCAAAAATGAAAGTTGAGGGACTGAATCGGGGTTTTAACCAAAAAAAAAAAAATGGTGCACGGAATCGTTCGCCCTCTGCAAATGAGGAAGAACGGGTCATCCACGAGGCCCTCGAGCTTGACGACCTACCCGACGTAACCCACATCGGCAGTGCCGACGACAACATCGAAATAGTTAACGCGAAACGAAGATCGATCTGGATGAGGGTGTGCATCATAATGCGGTACCGGAACTCGAAGATCTGCAGATGACGGAAGGCGCAAAGGAAGATAACTAGCGGGAGAGGGAACAGAGGACGCTGTACAACGTCATTCGGCTTAGGCTGGTTCGTGTGGTGCTTCTCGGGAAAAGATGAGGCGGAGCACCGGAGGGAACTGAGGTTGTGAAATCTGTGATTGAGAAGCGATCGGGATACCGGTGGTGGCAATGAGCGTAGTTAATTTTGATTCTCTTCAATCAAAGCCGAATTTTGATTTGATCTTGCTGTGTCCATCATGTCCCCTGTTCTATAGCCTGTAAGTGCCCTTTCTAACTTTCTTCCATTTTGATTTGATCTTGCTTTTGTTTATTTGCTTGTTGACATGCGTGGTCTTGTTAAGTGATATAAAGGCATTTTTATATGGTTTGACCAGACGGTTCTTCTTCTGGTTTTCAGGCACAAATTGCCTTTCTTGGATAAACACAAAGGTGGGACAGATCTGCAGTCTTCTTCTCTGCCTCATAGCATCCTCACAGTCATTTGTTGCTCCGTCTCCAGTTGGATATATTCTTAAACAGAGGAATTTTTACAGTGATTTGTTAGGTGGTGTTAGATTCTCCACTGACTTAATATTGGTTTCTATCTGTTTGTTAGGTGATGCTAGAGTACATACGATATAATTGTTAGCAATATCGGTTTGGAGCAATTTCTCTTTTGTTTCCTTCTTGTTATCTGCTTGACTTTTGATTCTATATATATAAACTATATACTATCTCTGGTGATGGATGAATCCTATCTCTGGTACTGTATTGTTGTTTTACCTCAAATTTTTATTTTTCTCATACCATTGATTACTGAATTATCTGACTTCCTTTTTGTTTAGTATATATTTTGACAGTGGAAAAGGAAACTAATTGGCAGAAAGAAATTTTTCTTAATTGTGAAATAGGCATTAGTCATCTAGATCTGTGATATTGTTTGTTTGCATGCTTCCTAAGCAGAACTAACAGTAAGCAGGGAAATGCAAAGGAAAGTCTCAGCCTAGTCAGAAAGAAATTCACTGACTTAATGTCCAAGATTGAATTAGAATATATAAGGAGCTCTTACTGTGAAAGTCTCCACTCCTCGTCTTGAAGCTCTTGTTAAAAGAAAGGTAGTTTTGCTTATATCACCAACTGCTGCTGGAAACGGAAGTGAAACCATATCAGCTCTTTTATTATTGATGTTTTTTTGTTGAAAGTGAATCATAATATGTTGCTTAGATATTACCAGATTATGTTTATACCTCTTAATTCCTTTTTTTGTTGTTGTTGTTGGCAAACTTTATCATCTTTCACATTTGGTGTCTTATGTTTATACCTCTATGTGACTTTATTTTTTTATTTTTTAGGAATATATTATTATTCATGTAAAGTTTCTCCATACCATCCTGTGTATGTTATAATCACGTGTTTCTTTATGTATGATGCAAATGAAAAACATAACTTGTAACTCAGTGCATGTGGATTTGGGAAGGGGGCCTATCATGTATGATTGTAGAAGCAGTCCTTTACTCATATCATACATGATGGCATGTGTAACTATTATGGAGAATGAGTTCATTGTTGTGTTCTAGAATAGTTGTCTTCTTTTCCAAATAAAAGAAGATGAGAATTACCGTGCTTTTGCTTTTTTGTTACAGATTTGGCATTCTCAAGATGCAAAATACGTTTGATGAGAAGATATAATTTAATAGGAAAATTCAATTTTAAATGCATAGCATTTTAATATATCCAAACAATGTATTTCAAATACATGTATTTAAAATACACATTCCAAATACAAATACATGTTTCCAAATGCAACCTAAATAAAATTGAGGTTGGTTTCTACAAAATGCATATCTATAATCTGTTAGTATTTGACAGAAGTAAATAGAAGAGTGATTATTTTTCAGCTTTTGATCATATGGAATGAGATTGTGTGTTCCTTAGTTGATGTCTTTTTTTTGTTTTTGTTATTGAATATCTTCAATTCTTTCCAATTATTATAATTGGTAATTGGAAATAATTTTGTGGGTGTTTTGCCATTATGCAGATTTCCTAGTTGACTCTTTTTTTAAGGCAAGGTTTGTGAGTGTTGGTTGCTGAAGAACTGACTTCGGTATAGAGATTGGTTTGTGTGCCCTGCTCTTGTTCTACTTTGTTCCTTTTTGTTTAGAATTTTGTGTTCAGGAGTAGTGTGACTGTAACTTTGTTTTGATGCCATGACTTACCATGACCAGTTGGAGAAAATGCTTTTGAAATTTCTGTCTCATTCTAGAAAATGTGCAGGATTTTAATCTACTAAATGATATGCATATTCATGGTTTCTTTGCTGCAAGGCTTGTTCTCTTTGCCAAAAGTATTGGTTGCACAAGAGCTATGACTTTGGAATAGGGATTGGTTTGTTTGCTCTACTCTTGTTCTGCTTTATTCCTTTTTCTCTAGAAAGTTTCTTTTTAAGGTTACTGTGACTATAAGTTTGATATGCTGCCGCAGTTTACTGTGACTATAACTTTGTTCATTTATTATTTTTTGTACAGTGATTTTTTATAAGCTGTTGGGCTAAAATGCACTACAACTCAAAATGTCCTCCAAGGGGTAAATATCGCTTCATTTGCTTTCGAAAGTTTTTCTTGAAAAAACTGCTTATTAATTTTGTTGATATTGTTGTTAAGCTGGTAAGTGTCTGTTTTATACTATCATCAATATACTTAGTTCTGTAGTTTGGGACAGATTATCTTTTTTGGTCAAATGTGCTACTGTAACCTTCAGCTAGACTTCTCAAGATGGCTAAGAGGAAGAGGAAGACTTCTGGAGATTTCTTTTTATGATTACCATATTAGGAATTAGTGAACAGAATGTAGAAAAAAATAATTTAATGTTTAGGATCAGTGATTTGTATTATAGTTTTGACTACATGAATGTACATAGGGTACTGATGTTACATGATAATATATAAATTATAACAATTTTCATTTTCATTTACAAAATTGTCTGACGATTTGAGTTATTTATTAGAAATATAATTACAGTTTTTTTTTGCCACAAGCCTAATGCTTATGACAAATAGTTTTACACTTTAGGTATGGATATGAAACTATTTGCTTCAATTAGTTTGTATGTCAATTTTATCAGATTTAGTTATAGAGTTCAGTATTCTTGACTAAAGAAATACAACATTTTGCCACAAGATTATTTGTTGTGGCAAAAGGTTTTAAATGATTTGCTACAATAATGCGAGTTTTATGGCAAAAGGTTTTAAATATTTGCCACATACTGCCTTTGGTTGTGGCTAAAAATTACTGTTCTTAGCCATTGAACTCTTATATCCTGTAGCTAATTTTTAGCCACGCCATTTCTAGCTACAGCAAGTTACGGGAAACAATTTTATGACTAAATCATTTAGCCACAGGATTTTTGTTATTTAGCTATAGAACTTTTCGTGGCTACAGGTGTAAAATGTAGTAGTGTTGAAAATAATTGTTGATCTCCAAGTATGGGTGTGTTGGCTGCAGAAAATGTGAAGGTAAGTCATAGGGACTGTCAAGTTAGCCACAAAAGAGTTTAACTAAATTGATAGATCAAATAAATATGAGAGAAATTCATATAATTGTATAAATACCTACCTTGGGTCTGCTGTGGCCTACATGTATTTGTGTGTGTGTGTGTGTGTGGGTTCAATTGCCACGAGGGTTGAACAATAATGTGATTAAAGAAATTAAGATGTTGAGGTTGATATAGTTAACAGTCACAAAATATAAAACAAAAAATTTCTCAAATCTATTTGACTGCTTATTACACACAAAATAAAACTAATGGTACTTAAACAAGCATTAATTAAACAAAGTTCATCCATAGCACAAAACAACAAATTACAACAGAGATTGCATTGGATTGAAGTGAGTGTGAGTCCCAATTTTTTTGTTTTCCTTAGCTGTATATGCTGCTGAGTTGAAGAAATAGGTTTGAGATGATAAGAGATGCAGCCTGCACCAACATTTATGGAGAAATTACTTAATTCTAACGATGCAAATATTTGTCAGCCAAAAAATTTTTAAAAAAAAAAGGAAAAAAGAAAAATGTTCAAGAAAAACATAAACGTATATACCTGGGCTGTGCATTAGAAAGTGGACACAAATTGACCAGATTGATATTCAATGGATGACTTAGGAAATCCATTCTGGTGCTTGCTCCCTATAAATGAATAATTTAAAAAGGAATTAGCATCCAATTAAGGGAGATAGACATCTCATCATAAGCATATCAACAGACATATATACCTGAGCTGAGCATTAGAAACTAGTCAAGATAATTGAAACTCGTAGAGGCAAATTCAAATGCTGAAACAGACTGATATTTAATATCTACCCAAGTGTCCCCGCTGTGAATAATCAAAAAAGGAATTAGCGAGATAGACATCTTGGTAGCAAATCAGTCATGATTGGATAATTGAGCAAATCAATGGAGATTAACACTTGGATTCATTCAGAAACAAGAGATAAAAACATTTATTTTTGAAATACCAGTGAGAGAGAAGGAATGGAATGCAAGTGATGGAAAAAGGGAGATTAACGACACTTACTGAGTATATTGGAGGAAAGGTAGGAGGACAATCTTATCGTCAGGATTCTCCCACTCCAACGGTTCCCACCATTCTTTTGGATTGAAAATAGAGATATATTTGATAGCAGGAAGAGATGGTTGCACGTTTGCCCTTCCAAGACAAAGGGGAATCCTCTTTACCTTTGAACATAAATATATATTGATGCTCTTGAGAGATTCACAAACCATTACTCGTCCTTCGAGGCAGATTCTCTTTAATTCTGGTAGGGATTCCAACTTCAATATCCTTAATTTTGGAAGAATGATCAATATTGGAATAGTTGTTTGATTTCCTTCCTCTTCTTCTTCCCATCCTATTATTTCCTCCATTCCCCAACAATGACTCACCTCAATAAACTCCAAGTTTTGGAGGCCTTGTCCCTGCAGCAACTCACATGGAAAAAGCTTCTTCAATTTTGAACAATTGCATACCCTTAGCTGTTTAAGATTGGGAAAGATGTGAGGGGATATTGTTGGTGCAAGCGATGATCTTGTTTTTTCCACTTTCACAACATCCCGCAAGCTAAACAAACGCTCAAGAGTTAGTACTTCAAGGTTATTCATAACTGTCAAGGAAGTAGATGAAGATGATGACAAAGAGACCACACACCCTATCCCTCGGCAGCCTTCCAAAGCACATGTTCGCAATTGAGTAAAATCTTTCTGAAAAATAGAAATATCACTGACCGTATTGCAGTCTTCAATCCTCAAATCCTGAAGGTCATCTGGAAGGACCAACTCATCTTCTTCTCCTATCTCGCATCTGGATAAAATTACCTGTTTAGGAAGATCATTATTGTTGAACTTCCACAAATGCCGCTCCTTATCTTTGTCTGTGCCTCCCACTTTGATACAGTAATGACTGGGTCTTCTAAAATGGTTCAATTTGCTTACAAAACTGTTGTAGTCTTTCAGCCAATCAAATCTACCTTCAAACCATTCCAGCATCTTCAATCTTGCTACTTCTTCTCCTTTTATTTCAGTAGGAAAAATCCGATGTTTACGTAGGTATTGGAGGCAGAAGAGCTTATTGATTTTTCCTCTTGGTGGCACTGGAACCCATAGGTTTGGACAAAATAAATCAAGATATTCTAGATTTTCTAACATTTCAATGCCTTCTGGAGCCTCATGAAGGCCTGCTCCACCCAAATCCAACTTCTTCAGTGCTTTAAGATTTGACAAGGAAGGCATGCGTTTTAAACTCCAACATCCACGGAGGATCAGTGCAGTGAGATTTTCCAAGTTACATATGGAATCAGGTAGAACCTCAATGCCAGTTCTAGAAATATTAAGAAGCTTCAGCTGGGGCATGTTAGCAAGAAAACACTCTGAAATTTGTCTCAATCCTTTATTACCCTCCAAAATCAAGGTTGAGAGCATCAAGCATTTGGGGGACAAATTTTGAGGGATAAATGATATTACATTGTTCATGAGGGAGACCTTGTTTAGATCTCCATTCCATTCATCCTCATCCGGTATCTTTGTCAATCTGATTCCAGCTTTTACCATAAACCTACCAGGACCTGTGCTTTTGATGCGCAATGCCATGTCCCTCACAACATCATGCATCTTAACACATGCCTTATCATAGGCTTCCTCTAACAAACAACAGTTTAAAAGCCTATTTAAAATAGCATTTCCTTTATCATGCATTTCTCTTCTGCTTCCTAATTTTTCAACAATTCCCTCACAAAACCAGGCTTCAATTAGCTCTTTTCTTCCAATCTCCCAATCATCCGGATGCAACGAGCAATATAAGAAACACTCTTGGATGCTTGAATTTGATAGACGGTCATAACTGAACTTCAAACGTTTAAATATCTCATCCTCTGAATCTTTCTCTGTGTCCACCACACATTGACGCAATTCACGTAATGCATTTCTCCACTCAAAAATATCTTCTACTCCTCTCATGCTCCCTGCAATGACAACAATGGCCAATGGCAAACCACCGCATTCAGCCACCATAAGCTTCAAAATCTCTTCCAATTTGGGAATTCGTAGAACATCTTGCCCAACCTTATCTAAAA